ACCGTCCAGTGTTGTGCTTTGATTTGTATTGTTTTTTCACAAGTTTGCTCTAGATTTGATTGAAGAACGATTTTTAACCATGCATTTATGTTAGTCAAGTTAAAATCGAAAAAGAAAAAGCCACAAAAGGTTGAATTGCTTCTAGAAAATTTGCCTTCCTTCCTTAAGAAGGTTTGCTCTTGATATTGATAATATATTTTTTATGACCTACTTTGAATAATGGATACAGGAGCATCTACAGAAAGACGATGGAACAGGCAAGGAAGATTTATTACAATGAGAGGTTGGGCATCCGCCTCCAATAAACAAAAAAAAAGAACGACCTAGGCCAAAAAAAAAATAAGAAATATACATATGTGCTTCCAATTTGAAAGCAGATAATATTAATTCATACTGTACGATTGCTCAGAAACTGAGTATCGAAAATAGAAAATCTTCTGGATGGGACCATATCTCAGTTAGGCTGTTGATGTGTTGGCGGATTCCATTATTAATTCTTTTCTTACCGGAAGTTTTCCCTCATTTTTGAAGCAATCTTGGGTAGTACCTTTGTTTAATAGGGGGGTGATAAGAATTTACCATCTTATCACCGGCCAATATCCTTACTGCCAACTTTGACTAAAATTGTAGAATGGCTAATTAAGGTTGATGGTGAGCTTCCTTGATAGACATAAATTGCTTTCTCTGTCTCTGTTTCAGCAGTCAAAAAACACTGATGATACCATATTTCATCTCCTGGATGAGCTGTATTAGAAGATAAATGACGAAGAAGTGGCCGCGGTAGTTTTTTGTGACCTGAAAAAAGCTTTCGATTGTGTCTGTCATGAAGTACTGCTTCTAGGGGTTCAGTACTTCAGAGGTGTTGGATATCACTGCAGGAGTGCCCTAGGGATCTGTTCTATTTCTAACATTAATAAAAATACGACTAAAAACAACGAGTATCACAACGCAAATGAACAATGAGCACTATTTTTTTGAAAAAAATTTCATGACACATTGAATGACACATAAAAAAAGGGTTTGTGTGCCTCTTGGCGGCCATTTTAATTCAAGTTTGACAGCATCTTGGATAGTTCAATACCTATATTGTATTATGCTCCTCTGAAACTGATGTGCTAAACAAAACAGAGGGTGAATCTCTGAAGATGGATCACAAAGTAAGTTTATTTTTCACCAAGAAGTAGATGTATGATGTATTAGTTATTATTTTAGGTATTGTGGTTGTGCTGGTATCATTCTTTTTTTAAATAAATACCTACAAGTAGCAGGCAGAAAGGGGGGCCCAATTCGTAAGAAGGGGATTGGCCGAGGGATTGGCCAACATTTTCGCCAGTAAATTGTCTCTACATTGTTACAATGTTCCTGAGCTGGCTAGAAAAATTATTTCAAAATAAGGGATTTGCGAAATCGAGGTTTGATTTTGATCTAAAATATGTTTTGATTGTAACTAATTAGTTTGTTTTTTTCTAAGTCCTGAATGATGAAGAGGTGACGGAGGAAAGTGGTGATGAGATATGAGATGGTTTATTCATTCGAACTAGCACCTTATCAAGCAGTAATTCCAAAATTGGTAAATTTTATCCTTTTAAAAGTTAATTAAAAAAATAACAATTCTGTATTATTACCTATTTGGTTTAGCCGATTATCATCACAGAGGCCAGCCAGAAATCATGTAATTTTTCAATTTAATAAATAAATTAAATAAATATCGCAGTTCGTTTTATTGTAAGTATCTGGGTAATGGGTAATTAATAAAATTTTCAACGATATAGTTTCGAAACAAAAACGTAACCCATAACCTATTGAAAAACATCGCATAAGCGAAACTATTATGGCATAGTTTCAAAACAAAAACGTAACCTAGTAACATAAATATAACATTATCATGAGTTTCTTGAAAAAAACATCTCAAAAACGAAACTGTTATGGTATAGATACGAAAAAAAAAAACGTCAATTTATAAACGGAACTGCGATTTTGTCACGTTTGAGGACATTTACCGAAACTATTCCATTAAGGCGCCGTAACAGTTCCTTTTCGAATAACGTAACAATGTATAACCTAAAATCAAAGATGTGACGAAATTAGGATGTTTTTTTGCTTAGTGGGTAGGCACTGTTGAAAAGAGAATTTGATGACCTTTGAAATGAGGTATCGCTTGACCCCTACTGCCATTTAAGATTTAAGGGTTGAAGCTTACCCCCGCAAGAGGGTTGAAGTGACAACATTGAGAACATGTGCAAAAGATTTCCCCCTCCGAATAAAAATCAACGGGTCCTGAACGATGAATACGAGATATCGACTTTGTTTCTGCTTGTTCGCTAGACCACCCTGTATAATAGAGGTGTCGGTAGAGATCGCAAAAATCACACAACAGCGACAATGTGCTACATTTGGCAAGACAGGACATTGGTCCAGCCTGATTTTTACGGCGAACGCTATTCCTGCTATTATGGCGACGGCAACATGATAATTCCAAAGGGCGAAATGTCTGGGCGAGGATTATTATTTCACTCTTTGGCTTTACTTATGGCCGTTTCCACCAACAGTAAGAAAATACAAATATATTGAAAAAAATTATTTTTTTTCTATTTTATTTTTCTCACAAAGGAAATAATTGTTCTGGAAAACCTTGAAATTTGCAAAAAAATTGCCTGCGGCGCGTTTGCGGGGGGCGTCCCCTCAACCCCTAGTACTATTTACTCCCTCCTCAAACTGCTTGTCACGCGTCGGCACTGGTTTTAGCACGTTTTTGAAACCAATAACAGCAAACGTCTTGAAAGGTAGGTAGGTATAATGATATAATAAAAACCATGTCCGAGTGTTTTTAAAAAGGTATAAAAAAGATGTTCTTTAGACATTCAATTTACATTGATTTTAAAACCTCTGTTAGAGAAAATTAAAGAATGACAGAATACAGAATGTTTTCTATGGGTTCGTAGAAGTATGTTTTCATAAAAAGTCATAAGAGAGACGTTTTATAAAGGTTTCTGTTGGTAATTTTCAAGAATATCGTTTGAAACATGTATCCCGCGTCCACACGTCGTGAAATTAGTTCGAATGACGTTTTTAAAAGGTTGTTTGTGACTGTGATATTTGCACTACCTATAAAATAGTCTTTTGGATGGTGTTGGATACTTTGAAGGAAGTCCAGTGAATGTTTGTAGAGGCCTTTAAAAAAGGTCCTTTTTCGTTTTCAAAACATCCGTATCAAAACGTCCATTTTCGACGTCTATGTGACGTTTGAAGTTGTGACATGTGAAATTTGCACTAAATCAAAATGCATCTTTGGATGTTCTCAGTTACTTTAACTCAAGGATAATATACACACTACTACTAATACTACTACAAGGATGGCCTATCCTCATGAGGCCTGTCTGTAACAAATCCCTTCCCCCCACGCCAAATTACCAGTTATGACGTAAGCAGCATAGCGTTTCTCGCCTTGACGTAGGCTGTTTAAATAGCTGACGACTTAGTTGATGACGTCGGAAATGGTAACACACCAATATGGCGGCGATTACCAAAAATGAGGCCGATAAGCAATCCCGCAGATGTGTATATGTTCCTTGACTTTAACTAACGTTTATGAAACGTTCTGACGTACGCTTGGATAATTTTTTGAAACGTTTCTGTGCTATATTTACATTTGTTGATTGTTGCCAATAGTTTGGATTGGCTGACTTTCACTTTATTTTTTATGTTTCTTGTTTTCTTAAGTTATTTTTTTTGTTGTGTGGTTACCTAACACAAATAATAAAGAGCGTGGTTTATTGCTATGATGCTAAAGTTTCGTGTTAATATAAAAAATAAATTCTACAATCCAAGATCTCTCACATTTTACCTAAGCGTGTCATAAGATGGGGCGGCAAATTTACTGATTGCCCAGGGCGGCAAAATACCTCTAGAGCCGGCCCTGATTATAAATTTAATTGCCTTGTGGGAAACATTGTTAGTTTCCTCAGAAAAACACCCAAATGTAGAAAGCACTTCCGCCATTTTTGTTAGATCGAATGGTTCGAGGGATAGTTGCCAATAAAAGGTGTTTCACAGAAATTTTTAATCGTTTAATTAGTCCACAAAAATCAAAGAGCATAATACTATACCTACATAGTTAGTTTTTTTGCTTTTAGAATTAACAATATAGGTAAGCAAGAAAATGGCGACCGGACGTCTATTGTCGCCGTAAATGTTTATCTAGTCTACTGTATCCGCTCTACAGTGACTCAATAAACCTTTACAAAAAGTGGCGACAAAAGAGGTCTCGCCCTACATTTTTTATATGGGATTTCAAAGAACCATTTAAAAAGAAGACGGCAATTGTCGCCACTGTGGTAAATAGAGTCACTGTGGCCCCAATTAACGCTGCCGCCTCTAGGGAGAAAAGAATGAACAAATTACCCCAGAAAAAAAAATTAAGTCAGGGCTGGATTCTCAATACACCTACTCCGGGTTGGTTTTAAATCCAGAAAAAGTGTCCAGTTGCTATGTTTATCTTGGAGTAATGCTCAACCCGGGGATGACTTGCTATTGAGAAACTGGCCCTTAGCCCTTAGAGAAAACAGAAAACTGTTACGAGCGGATGTGACTTGCGCCATCTGTAGGAAGTGCATATATTAAGGGCCCTATTCTCCGTAGTTCATAAAGCCTGGCAGTGGAAACGCTTGGATTTTTGTGTGACAAAGCCGAGCTTTTCCACTAAGCCAGGCTTTATGAACTACGGAGAAATATGGCCCTATGGTTCGAATTTCCAATGGAATCTCCAATATAAATTATGGTTGTAAAAAAAAGTACCTACCTATTGTACACAAAATAGTAACTTGTAACTAGTATTCTAGGTATTTAACAAAAACTAATAAGAAAAAATCATCCGCAATTGTCCTTTTTTTTTGAATTTTATTAACCATGAGTGCAGTAATTCTGTTACAAAAGAACAAAACCGTACGATGGTTGTGTAAACAACCGAGTAGGCGCAAATTTTAAAATTTGAACTTGTCAGAGAGACAGTAATTTTTGTCAATTTTTCCAAATTTTAATTATTTTCTCAAATATTACCCCACAATGGACATTACGTATTATAAATACGCTATTTACCTTGTAACCGTTTATCAAACCGAATTTGAATATTAATGCAGAACATTTTTGTAAGTAGCAAACATTATTAGAAAAAAACTCAAATGAAACAAGCTGCTATTTTTCTAAAAATCCCTAGGTTCAAGAATCCCAAAAAAGTTTGCTAAATTTGAAATTTTTAAATTGATAAACAACCAAATCATGAAAGAAAAATGCCTACGAACAGGACCACTGTGTCAAGCGCGCTCCGACGCCGTGTCGTGTTCAAGATCAGACCCGAACAAAACCGGCTACGGGATGGATAGGAAAACGCACTTAACCTCCGAACCAATTTGGCAAAAACTCCAACAATATTATGAAACGAAAGGCCAAAATCTGGTAATCAAGGACCTATTTGGAAGCGATCCAGGAAGATTCGAAAAATTAAGGTAAGAATTTTCATTTATGTTTTTTTTAACCTATATAAATGAGGGACAGTTTTATCAATCAAGTCACCTTGATTTGACCTTGTTGTTTGTCTTATGTTTATCCAGGATTTTTATGTTTCTAGGGTGTTTTGATGCAATTCATAAAAATCTCAAGTTTTATAATTGTATAAATAAAACTTAACTCACCTTTTTTTATAATGTTACGTAATATATGAGGCACTATACTTCACTTTTGATTTATTATTAAAATTTATTCTCGTATTGTAATACTTGCTCGACTAGATTTGGATAATTAAATATACTTACTAATTTACTTAAATGTTGGAAAGTCTAGAATTAAAATAAACAACCATAATTATTGTTATCTACTGTAAAAATATTGCTGTGTCATTTCTTTTATCGTATTATCATCCTGCTAACATTTACCTTATTCACTTGACATGTAACAGTGGCGTGTAGCGTCTCATTTTGGATTTGATCTAGAAACTAAAATCTTCAAAAACAACTATGTACAGGGGGGTCATTGGCCACGTATTAACCAATAGCAAAGTTTACAGGGTGTTCCATAAAGAAATGTCAGAGCAATGATACCTCGAATGATACTTACTGTTTTTCAAATGGAACACCCTGTATACATATTATTACATTTTTGGATTCTTCAGAAAATTCTAGATCTTTTTCGTGTATAAGATTCTATACCTATCTGCAACTGTTTTCAAAATATTGACAGTTCAAAATTGACTACTCCGCAATTTTGATAGACTGTAAAACCTAAACGTTTAATCTTACAGCAAAACTGTTTTTACATTTTTAATTTTTAGTTTTTTATAAGGTATAATTTGAAACCAACTTTGAATTTAACTGCAGATTGAATTTAACTGGAATTCTTAATCATACATTGAATTGGAGATTGAATTTAAAGTTGGTGTCAAATGATAGTTAATGAAGAACTACAAGACAAGAATGTGAGATCGGTTTTGCCTCAAGTTTTGCTTTAAAATTAACCGTTTAGGTTTTACAGCCTGTCAAAGTTGCAAACAAGTCAATTTTCAACTGTCACTATTTTTGGGACAGTTGAAGATAGGTGTAGGTATAGAATATGATACTTGCATAGAATACTGAGATCAACATTTTCTGGCGCTTTCTTATAACTAGGACTTTTTTTATACCTGTAAGGAAAATGAGATAAGTTTCTTTTTAATACTATTGTTTCTTATAAAAAAAAAACTGTTAGAGAAAAACTATTGAACTTTATATAATTGAAATCAGCATAAGCAGATCTATCCAATGAGTTATTTATATAGAGGCTGTCTTATTTGAAAAAATGAATTATTTATGCTTGGTTTATAAAATCACTTCTCAAGAAAAACTGGTTATACACCACTGAAATCTACCTTGTAACTTAACGTTTCACAACCCGCGCCTGTAATTTTGATCACAGACTATAGAAAAATCTATAGGAACCTGTCGAGGAACCTGTTTTTCCGAGTGTTTTTCACCTTTTTGATCACTTATTATGAGATAGCCGAGATACAAGGGCTGTCCCGTCCCAAAATACAACAGTTTCAAAAACACCTTTCATGTCCGATTGACCAATAAAGTGCGATCTATAGAAGAGTTTTGCGTCAATTAAATAGCACTTTATTTTATTGTAGAATAAAGTGCTACTGTATTTTACTTGTAAAATAAAATGCTACTTTATTGCCCACATGAACTACCTGACAACCTGCTAAGGTGAAACAGGTATACTCTAATTATAATTTTTATTTTCTACTTTACTATTATAGATCCATAATACCTAGGAAACGAAATACGTTAACACACCTATAACAACCTGATCCATAACGCCCGCTTTTGCGGGCGTTATGATCTATAACGCCCGCTTATATTACCTTAAGGTGTTTTTGTTGTTGTTGTTCTATTAATTTGCACTTTACCCTAGGCAGCCACTAAATGTCTGACCGAAAATAATTTTCGGTCTAGCCAGGATTCGAACCCGGTCTACCATCAATGTTTCCCATGTAGTCCAGCGTGTTAACCCACAGGACCACCACCGTTGCCTTGCCTTATGAGATGTTTATAGATATATTAATTTATTTCGTTTCTATGTACAGGTCGCAGGTACAGGTACAGGTCACAGGTACAGGTACATGTCAAAATACAAAACAATATTCTGTCACACAAGTTTAACTGATTTTGTTAATAACAAATTGATGAAAAAACATTGTGTTGAGTAGAAAATAAAGCATTGTATGCACCACGGGGATTTCAAGATTATAATGCCCTTGGTACATAAATAGCTATTTCATTAAACTTTTCGAATTTTTAATAAAAACACTGTAACTTTTTTGTTTTTAAAGATATCAAGGTAAACAAAAAACAAAATGTAGGGTTAGTAAGTAGCCAAGTTTTTTTTCAAGTAACACATAAAACAAAACACTATTAATTTTAAATAAATAAATTAACGAGTAAATAAATAAATATTTATTAACGGACCAGCCATTTATAGAAATTGGACTAATACTAAAAATAAGTAACACACGTTTCATTTCCCTGGTTCATAATGTTTGTTGAGATCTTGGGTAATGGGAAAGGAGACAAAGACCAACTATTCTCTGGCGACGTTTCGTATATTACATCTATACTTTTTCAAGCCTCAAATATGCAGTATAGATGTAATATACGAAATGTCGCCAGAGAATAGTTGGTCTTTGTCTCCTTTCCCATTACCCAAGATCTCAACAAAACACTAAAAATAAGCACCAAAAATATAATATTTATACAATATACACCATTTCAACCTCAATTTCGGAAAAAGTAACTTTTATTTAGGAAAATGTCATTTCCGGAAAAACTCAAATCAATTTCAGAAAAAGTAATGGTAATTTCGGAAAAAGTAAAGTTAATTTCGGAAAAAGGAAATTCAAATTCGGAAAATGTAAATTCATTCATAGTTTACTTTTGCCGAATTTGAATTTACTTTTTCCGAATTTGAATTTACTTTTTCCGAAATTAACTTTACTTTTTCTGAAATTAATTTGACTTTTTCCGGAAATGACTTGACATTTTCCTAAATAAGAGTTACTTTTTCCGAAATTGATGTTGAAATGGTGTAGTATAGGTATAGACATATCAGTTAAATCAGTGAAAAATGGTTACAGTCCTCAACATCACACTAAGTGCGCGTGCACATTGGCGAGTGATGAGAGGTGCACATTGAGCGGCGAGCGTTTAGCTGTGCTAACGCCCGCGGTGTTGTGTGCACATTAACAAGTTTACTTTATAAGCGTTTTTAGTTTAGAATTGTCCTAGCTAGCAAGATGTCTACTTTGATGCTTGAACTGTTATTAGCTGAAAACCCACGTTTAGCGCGATTAATTTTAATTAAAAAGAAAAGAAAAGAAAAGAAAATGAGTTTATCAATTGAATCAAAGTTGTCTAATATTTGGAGAATTCCATCATTTGTATCATGAACTTTGATGTAATCCGTCCAGATTCCGGAGTTATATGCGAGTCCGGCCCTGGGCCGGAGTTATATGCGAGCCCGAAGGGCCGGAGTTATATGCGAACCCGAAGGGCCAGAGTTATATGCGAGCCCGGAGGGCCGGAGTTATATGCGAGCCCGGAGGGCCGGAGTTATATGCGAGCCCGGAGGGCCGGAGTTATATGCGAGCCCGGAGGGCCGGAGTTATACGAAGGCCCAATAAATCCCGTGCCTCCACGACAAAAATCTATGAATCTGGGATACTCAATAATACCAGCCCTAAGGGCCGGAGTAATATGAGCCCGAAGGGCTAGAGTTATATGTGAGCCCGAAGTGTTAGAATTATTTTAATCACGGAGCTCAGTTTATAATTCTATTGGTCAGCGGATAATTTGGAACCAATCAAAAACCGGGAATATTTAAAACGCGATTTTTAGCGCCCAATCAATTCAAAAACTTTAGTTTTCTCAAATTGATTTTGGAATGTTGGTTTTTTATTGGGTTTTCTTAAGATTTTTACTTTTTTCAAAAAACGGTGGTTTTTGCAAACATATACTACTTTATTGTTGTCTTTGTTGTTTTTTGAGTTCCTTCGTATATATGTTTGTTGAAACTTTTGACTACATTTTAGCCAAAGTAGAGAACAGGCTTCGAAAGAATTGTACCAACTTCAAAAAGCCAATTTCACCAGCTGAGAAGACTTTTGTAATTTTTTGTACTGTACTGTACCAAGTAAAATATGCCTATCTGGCAACAGTGTACTGCTATTTTTCGCGAACTTATGCTTTTCGGGCAGAAAAAACACAAATATTACTTGAACAATATTCATTGTCCCGATTTGCTGGGTCTAATGAACTTTAGATGCAGTGAGCCTACTCTCAGAAACTCGCCTTTGTTTTCGGTTGTGTACCATCGCACAAACAAAGGTAAATTTTCTCCTATTAATAGAATTCAGATTTTGGGAAATGAATTCAACCAGTAGGTATTATGATCTGATTGATACTAAATATACAGGGTTTAAGCAGTGTCTGAGCAGGTATATTAGAAATATAAATTGAATCTAGGTATTAGCGAAAATGTTAGTTTTTAATGGAATATTTTTATTTTTGTTTTATTTAAGTTGCCAGATTATCTCTAAATAATTTTATATTATAATTGTTAATTTGATTGGTTAGAATGGAATATTTTGTAATTACTTAATGTAATTATACTTTTGTAAAAATGGGGACATCCCGTGAATAAATAAATAAATAAATAAATAAATAAATGGAGCACAACCAATAATCCAATGCAGAATACACCACACAAATTATTTAATTCAAAAATACAGTTTTTTAATTGAAGTAAAACTTAAAGAAACACTCTCCTTGCAAGCAACGTTGCCAGTTCTGACATATAAGCCTACATTATACAGTGTGATCTTTTAAGTGTGCAACATATGGGGATTTTTTTTAGTAATAGCACAACCCAAATACAAACAATGCCAAAAGTTGGTGCATGTTTGATAATCATATTAGGTGCACTTAGAATGGTTGCAAGTCAAACAGCATACAGGGTAGCTTAAACAATATCAAAGCTGTACTGTAAAGTACCCTTATTTTAGAAAATTCAGCAAAATGGTATAGAGAAAAGTTGTTTGGAATTAAAAGTTATGCCTAAATACCAAAACATAGCCTTCTAAGATTTTTTCTATTTTTTTTTTCGAAAAAAATCTATAATTTCTATATTTTTTTTATTTTTTATTTCCGCCCTTGATACTTTCAAAAATTAATTTAAATCAAATTCAAAGCATATTTGTAAAATTAACTTAGATTTTTAATTTTTTATGGAATCACAAAATTCATGTTTGTTGCAATGATATTTAACACAACTTTAAAATGTTGCAATTTTTTTTTTTTAACAAGTTAAAACAT